AATGTGAAACATTTAGAGGACAAAATGCACAATTCCAAAAACCACACAATTTAAACAATGAAAATTATGAGAAAGTTATTGTTAAAAGTATCATAGTTCTCCAGAAATTAAATTAATAAGATTATCTTAAATTCTTAAAACTACTTATTGAAAATATTTAACTTTCATAAATTAATATATATTTTTCAATCAAATGTCATTCCGACATCATTTCAACTATCAAAAATTGAAAATTTAAATTTTTTCAGTAAGATAATATACTTAAAATATTGAAGTTATTGCACAGTACTGTACTCTGTTATATCTCGTATCGGTATACGAGCTTACTACTCTATACAGCGAATCTGGTGCCTCCAGATTGCATCATCGTTGTGGTATATGGGTCGTTAGTCGATGCGCATAATCTTCGATCGCAATCGTGGCTGGTGGGCCGATTATACCTGGCTTGGCATATCGATCTCACTAGTCGATACGGATATCGAATTCGAATCTTGGGGTGATCCTTCCCGACACAGACGGCTGCGAGATAGAACCGGAGGCACAATTGCGAGCAACCCAGTTTTGGGAATGAATGGCAAATGAGCGTAGGAATTCTCAGCGAACATGCTCTGCGGGAAGTCTTAACCCGTGCACTACTAAAAACGATCGTAATTGCTCAACGGATTACATCAAATGTAAGGAATTATGAAAATGACTACGCAATTAGACTACTCTATGAATGTGATTATCTGTGAAAAGGCTCGTATAATTCACAATCTTTATAATAATAAAAATATATGGAATATATCTTTATTATTATAAAGATTGTGAATTAGGGAAAAAGAATACATATAAGAATATATATATAAATGTTTAATAGAATTAGATAGAATAGAACTAGATAGATTAATATACATAGATTTAGATAGAACAGAACAATTGCTCATGAAATTAAAAATTTACAGTATAGACTATAGGTAGTTTAAACAATCAAATGTTAACATTTTTACAAGTATTTCTAGTAAATATATCTTTTTATTGATTATCTTTATTCACATCTTTCGTCATTCTAAACGCTATAATTATATGGTTGCTCGTCTTTAATAGATTAGCAACGGCGTGTTGATCGAGTATACTCTTACTTGTTCCGTTTCTCGCAATGCTGTGAGTCATTCATTACGACTGGCGGCACATCGAGGATCTCTTGAATGTTTCTTTCAACCTTTCTCATCGTCGTTAGAACTTAGTGATGGTGTTAAATTTAACGAGTCCAATAATTAAATTAAAAATAAGGACTTCGAAAGTGACTGAGATCGTAACTCTTTGTTCATCGCTCTCGTTGAAGTATAAATTGTTCGATCGATATAATTCAAACGTCGTAAAAATTGATGGTTTATTTTTCTGGCATGTAATAACTATCATAATATATGGGAATGTTAGACTAGTTGCCATTTTCCTCTCTTGAAAGGGAAGTTCACAATATAAATGATATCCCTCTCTGTTTCCCTTTCGTGATTCTTTTCCCTTTTTTTTTTCTTTTACATGCAGTTATTTTGTTATGGCGCAATAATGCATCAACTTGGCTGGAAGAGCTTAACTTTATAATACAGCTATTGCATTTTTATTTCCCAAGAATAATCACGTCACTAATTTTTTATGAGTCTTTATAAGACAGGTAGTTGCAACTGTTAAACGATATACATATATCCATAAATTTATGTAATAAAAAATGTTACATTAAAAAATTTTTATTTTTTAAGAAGTATATTTATAGTAAAGCAATACATAGTAATTAAATATTATCGATAATTACTCTATGCAATATATGCAATATGGATGCAATATTTGCAGAACAAAGCATAAACGATATAGAGTCTATTGACCATTGTACTCAGCTATTATATTCGTGTATCGCAATTAAAAATAAAAAGATTAATTGATCGCACTTTTTATTCGAAAATTTTGACAGTATTGAAATAATATGAGTATTTTAAACGTACACAGAAAAATATATGAAAGCCTACACATGTGTTTTATCACGATAACATTCATTTACTCGAAAATCGTTTAGTCGCATCTATTTCAATCGCATAATTGCCAAAACATTCACTTGTAATGAATTTTATCCTGCAGCAAAATCCGCATAATTAAATTTGACATAAATCGATTTTAATACAATGAACAATAAATAATCATACATATATCGCACTACTACGCACTGATGCTTCTCAATTCTTATCTGTTTATGAAGATCTAGTATATTTGTCGCGACATAGCCAGTCATCAATTCATTGCGCAGAAAATCTCATTGCACACGTTCGAACGAATATGCCGAAATGATTTCCATATTCACACAAGCGATTGGTCATACGATGAATCTACTTTTCCAAACACGATTTCCATGCATTTCACTCATAAATATCGTTTACCCCAAAAAATTGCCTGTTTCGATGACCTTTCAATATTTCGTTGTAACGGACACTGCTATCGTAATATCTGCCATTACAGGAAAATACATTATATTAGAATTTTAATGATTTTTTTTTTAAATCATTAAATGTTCTCTAATTTTTTTAATTCTTATATCAAATTCTTTAAACGTTAACTTATATTAATATTTATTAAACATTGATTTTATTTAAAAAACAGATAATTTAATCGCTAATGCAGCATTAAAAAATATGAAAAAAATTTATTAAATAAGTTCCTTTAACCCCTTAAAATACTGCCAAATTATTTAAATTTAATGCTCAATATTTAATTTTTAATTATATTTTTTTTATTTTAATTATAACAATAGGGTATCTCTCATCCTAATTTCTTTCCCTAACTTATTTATCTTTAATATTAAATAAGTCCTTAATTCTTTAATATTTAATAATAACTCTTTTTAATTATGTTTAAATCTTTATATATTTCATCATATAAAAATATGTATTTATTAAAAT